TGTTCTAATCTATCCTCGCTCCCTCTGTGCTGTGTGTCTTTGTATTCGTGAATATTAATTCATGGTTAATATTTCCAGCATGAACTGATATTTAGCTCTGGGCTGCAGGAGGACTCGATCCCTGTATCCTGCCCATTCCTGCGATCCGTGAGAACTGCCGGCTCCCGGAGAAGCTCCTGGGAAGGCAGATCTATGCCTACAAGCCGTTCAGATCTCACCGCCGTGTCTCTGCGGCAACTGACTGACACGCACACGTGTTGTCGGCATCCACTGACACGCACATCTGTCGGCATGGCGACCGGCGTCCGGGGAGGTGTGGAATGTGGCGCCTGGCCGTCTGACAGAGCCGGGCCTCGGCCCGCGGAGCTCCGCAGAGCCGGGGGGGTCAGGTGGAGGGGTCCCCGCGGGTCAGGAAATACCAAGGGCTTTATGGGGAGCTTGGTGATTGACATCAGATGTGCTAATGGGAATGTGCTAATGGGAAGCAGGTTGGGCCTGGAAACGAGAAGCAGGCCTGAGAGCAGAGGGGAGAGAGAGAGGGGAGACAAGAGAGAGGAGAAAGGAGAGAGGGGGGAGAGGAGGACAGAGAGGGGGAGAGAGGAGGACAGTGAGGGGGGAGAGGAGGATAGAGGAAAAGAGAAGAGGACAGCAGAGGAGAGGTGGTAGGAGAGGAGAGAGGACATCGGAGTGGAGGCAGTGGGAGAGACAGAGGCTCAGAGAGGTGTCCTGGCCTGTCCTCAGCCCCTCAGGCAGCCTGGCCTCTGCGTTACTGCCTGAACCAGACTGCGCCCTCCAGAAAACAGCCCCACCCTGCAGAGCACTGTGCAATAATACAGCCCCCTCTCGTAAAACAGCCCCATAAAACAGCCAGCCCTCCAAGTCAGGAGGTGAGCCCTGCCCTGCCCTGCCCCTCCCCTCTCAGCGTTAATAGCCCCTGCTGGCCAGTCCTCACACACCCCTTCAGCACCAGAGCTCATAAACCTCTCCTCACCTGTCTCTCTGTCCTGTCTGTCTCTCCATCTCTCCTCTCTCTCTGCTGTCTGTCTCTCCCTCTCTCCTCTCTGTCTCTCCTCCCTGCGTCTATCTGTCCCGTCTGTCTCTCCTCTCTCTTATCTGTCTCTCCCTCTCTCCTCTCTGTCCCGTCTGTCTCTCCTCCCTGTGTCTCTCTGTTCTGTCTTTCTCTCCTCTCTGTCTCTCTCCTCCCTGCTTCTCTCTCCTGTCTGTCTCTCCCTCTCTCCTGTCTGTCTCTCTCCTCCCTGCTTCTCTCTCCTGTCCATCTCTCCCTCTCTCCTGTCTGTTCCTCTCCTCCCTGCTTCTTTCTCCTGTCTGTCTCTTTAGGAGCATAAAGGCAAACACTTCCAGATTCAGAGACAGTTTCTTCCCACAGGCTGTTGAATTACTGAAGTCTACCCCTACCACTGGCTCACGCTGATGGGTTTTAATTAAATGTTGTTTAACTTGTTGCTGTTGCTGCTGTTCTGTGTTTATGTTTTTGCTGATTCCTTAAATGTCTTTGAATTGGAGCGTATATGCAAACAAGCATTTCATTGCACTGACAAACTGAACTCTCTCTCCTCCCTCATCTCCCTCCTGTCTTACTGTCTCTCCTCTCTCCTCTCTGACCTCTTGTCCTCTGAGTCATGTGAGGTCACATGTTGCTGGGCCAGGGGTTCATTTGGAGGTGTCATCAGTCAGGTGACTTGTCTTGCTAAAGCAATGCACCACACTGTGCTAACACACTGAAACTCTGCAGTGTGCGTTCACCATGACATGCCGGTGTGTGTGCACGCGCCATGGTGTGTGTGTGTGTGTGCGTGCGTGCGTGCGTGTGTGTGTGTGTGTCCAGTCCAGTCCCTGGCTCGCTGCAACTCTGCTGCCTCTGGATTCCAAACCACAACCATCTGCAGCCAATGGGCAGACAGAGGAGCATGACATCATCGCTTGTGGAATGACATGACATCATCGTTCCATGGAAACTGAACTGGGAGAGGGTAACAGGAGAGGGGATGAAGAAGCGAAGGGCAGGGAGGGGAGAGGGAGAGGGGGGCGGAGAGGGACGAGCAGGGTGGCCGATCAGGCACCAGCAGGCCTAAGTTCAGGGGCTCCCCGTCTCTCTTGCTGGCTCTAGGGGGCAGATCGCAGCCGACAGGCCACTGACTGCTGGCTGGAGGTCAAGAGCTGAGCTGCCTCTCTGGGTCAGAGGTCATAGGTTAGGGGTTAGGCACGGTAATGGCACCGAGACTCAGGTGCACATACTGGGGGTGTGCTGGACCGACCTGCACTCTTCCGAGTCCTGTCATTCTGTGTTTCCTACGCATCCCTGGAAAAGGGAAACAAAGAGGCCGGCACACACATGCTGGGCCTCTCTAGTCAGCACTTTTGGAGAACACTGGAGCGTGTTGTTGACCTATTTGGGAAAATTCTGGCCAACTGCATGGTGGGAATTGATTTGAGAAAAGAAGACGTCTCTGTTTCAGGCACATATTTATTGTACAAGGGCGCCCTCTGCTGGACATGAGGAGAGCAGATACATTCAGACCTGCACACTGCGATGATAGTCATCCCTAAGGACCCCCCAACGCTTTGCCCATAGGTGCCCATGTCAAGGCCTGTGAAGAGTCTGAATTCTTGCGTCAGTATCCCTAGTCCTTGTTTCTGTTCAAGACTCAAGAGACTCAGTTCCCCCAGCCTGTCAGTGCGAGACACTCCCTTCAGACTGAAGAGACTCAGTTCCTCCAGCCTGTCAGTGCGAGACACTCCCTTCAGAC